GGCGGGCAGTGGCCCTGCCGCGAACCCGGAGTCCCCCGGCCGGGGCCACCGCGAACTGCCGGGAAACGCTTTAGAGCAGCCCCTTTCCACCTTCCCTTAATCACGATCCTCATTGTCGAGAACACTGGCACAGAAGGGAAAAAAAAAACCACCAGCAAAAGCAGTCATCCAGTGGTTGATAGTTTTTCTTAATGAGAAGAGGTTCGCGTTCATGGGGGTCGGCTACTTCCTTGCACTTGTCAGTTGTTTCACCTACTGCAGTAGTCTACCCCCACCTCTTCTCTGAGGCTTCCACATCTCTCCAAACCTAAACTTGAGAAACAGCAACCTACCCTTTCTCCATCTGAGAGCAGGGCAAACCCTATGAGAACAAAAGGCAATGTTTTTACTACAATTATTTGCAATCACCTGAAAAATAACTCTTGATACACTCTTACTTCTGCAAACCTGCAGTACTGCCCAAGGCATTCTTGTTCTATTAACTTCAAAAAAAAAAATAGGGCTGAAACAGAAGTCTGTGACTTCTGCCTGCTCCCAGCTCTTTGGTCATTTCATCTGTATATGAAAATAGAATTCTGCTTACCTAGATAACAGAATACAGCTCAACACAACATATTTCCATGAAAATATTAAAATTTGGAAATAAAGCTAAATACATCAGCATGCAAGACTTGTGATATCACTTGTATTCAGTATGAACAGAACTGTAGTTCTGTTCTGTCAATATTCAGTATCAAGTTGAAGCATCACGAGGGTCAGGCCCCTTCCTTGCTTCTCCCTTGGTGCTTCTTCAATGGCCAGTATGGGAGGGGGGCTCTGTCTGTTCTGCCTTTGGTCCCCAGCCATGCGTTCTGAACCCAGTTCCAGAATCCAGCTCCTGTGCCCATTTGCCTTCTCCCACGGAGTCCACTCTGGGGCTTTTCTCCAAGACCTGTTCCACAGCATTGGGGGTGACAGTGGTGTATTGCCATCGGGGGGAGAGGGGGAGTTGGGTTCAATGCTGCTTTTGTATATATCCCATTCTATTACTATTAGTATTGTTTTCATTAAAGCTGTTTTACTTTTCTAAGTGGTAAGTCTTTTTCCAATATTCCCTTTCCCTTCCCCTTTGGGGGGGAGGAGAGGGGTTAACAGAGACCATGTTATAGGTCTGGGGGTGGCTCCACCCTAAACCTTGACACTTCCAATACCGTTTAAATTGCTAGTTTCTGCAGCCTTATCTGAAACATTCTATTTACAGAGGCAGGCTGTGTTTAAAGTTAAAGTTATGAAACAAAGATTATCTTTGTTATTGAAAGATCTGCCAGTAGGCTCATGCAGAGCGTTATGATGGCATCACTACTCCCTGATACAACCACATTTAAAACCTGACTCATCTACACATGCTTCTATCATCATCGTACCTTCTGGAGCTGTCATTTCTTGTTTTGAAACTTGTAAAACAGCTGTCAAATAGATTTTACATCCTACTGTTCTCCATATATGTTAAATAAAGAGAAAATGGGAAAGATCACATGATGTATTTTATTTCAACAGTATATAAAAACAAGCTTTCCATTATTAAAAAAAAATTGCAGTATTAAAAGAAACTCCAATTTGTCACATTTACATTCTAAATTTTGTAGATATCCTCAAGACAGCATGAACACAGGCCACACAGCCAATAACTGCAGGAGATAAGATGTGTTCTTCCAGAGATTCAGTGCAGATGTGAACTTTGATGTCCTAGTTCATTTCATCTGATCTAATTATTCTGTTATTGTATCTATCAATCAGTGAAGCCGCTCTAATTTAGCCTGTAGTGATTTAAAATTCCCAATAGTAGTCTGCACCATCAGCGTGGGGCTCATTGACTGGAGTTCAACCAGGTAGCAACTAACAGCGTCCAGGCAAACATTTGTGAATCGTCGCCTGTAAAGAGAACACAGAATAATAACAAGCTTCTTTTTACTTCTGTATGTTAGAATTGATCCGAAATACCAAGCAAGGATTCTTTGAGTTTTATTGGAATAACTTATCAGCAAGACATCCGTCAGCTACTTTTAACTATTTATGAGAAATGTTGATTTTTGCAATCTAACGCTTGTCAATAAGTCATAGTGGGAAAAGAAATGAATCATTACTACTTATCAGATATTAAATATAAACAATAGAACATGATACAGTATAAAGTGTAATATTTATTGTACTAGATAGATACTACTCTAGATACAAATACAATCAATGTACAAGTTATTAATTTAGATGGCAATTTGAAGATCTAAAATTATTCTCAAATCACAATAATTTAGGTATTAATATCTAAATAGGTATTAAAATCAGACAACATTCACTGAAGTTCTAAGAAGTTTGAGTATTTAAATTACCAAACCATAAAAGACCAAAAAAGCAAGAAAAGACAGACAAACTCTGCATGCAAACTAGGGATATTTACATGCATATTTTACAGAGACTCAGAAAAGACTCTGTTTAGAAGAGTTATCAAGACTTAGCCTAGTTCTGCTCGTTGTTTATGAGACAAGACAGTTCTGACACAAAATTTGTATAGTCTATTCACAAAAGCTGCCAAAGGCAGAGATTCCATAATATGCAGGCAACTTGTTCAAATACGTTCTTTTAGCTAGAAACTTTTTCTAATATTAAATCTAAATTCTTTCCTGTTGCAGACTAAGCTGAATTTTAGTCCTGGAGAGTGGTTCATCACCAACCCCTTGTAAACGATTTGAGAAGATCTATCCCCATGTTCAGTCTCCTCTTTTGCAGAATACAAGAACCCATTGCTCCTACCCTTTTTTCACTTAACAGTTCAATGTTTCATTCACAAAACACCTGATTGTCATTATTCCCCACTTTCCCAGATTCCCTCTGGTTTGCCTGTATTACTCCTTAAAGTACGTTGCCAAAACTTTAAAAAATTATGCTCTCAGTTCCTTGTGAATCTTCACTGAAGTGAGGAAAATTATTGAAGTAGTTTATAAGGCAGACCCTACAAGTTTCTACCAGCTGGTTTTGAATGAGGTGTCTGAGTAATCACTGCCAGGAAAGAAATGATACATTCACTGAAAAGAAAAGAAAAGCTTTGGAGATTGCTGAAATGCAGTGCTTTAGGTTATTTTATATATTTCACTATATATTAGGATATAGTTTCCTTTCATACCTTTGATGTACTCTGCTTGGATCATGTACATATCCTGATAATAATACATGAATGCACTCTAAAAGGTGTAAAGGCTTTTTCATTCTATTCCAATATGGGTCCTAAAAAAAAAAAAAAAAATTAAGGAGACAAGAAAAAATCCAAAAACAAACCAACAAAACCAAAGGGTGTGGGTGTGTGTACACACTAATTGCCAGCTGCAGTAGTTTTTATCCACTCCAATAAAAATGCAAGAGAAATAGGAATTCTATCTTAATCTATATAAAGTCTATATTTAAGTACTGGTTTGACTTTTGAATACTAAAGCATATATAAATTTAACAGTTCTCCAGTACCTAACAGTTTGTATAGTGACATTTTAGGTAGTTCTGAATTTCTTACACTGCAAGGATCTAGATAAGAAGCAGCAAGTCAATGCTCTTCATTCTAATTCTGGTTAAGCCTGTTCTACAGACTAAAAGTTAAAAATATGACATCTTATTCTTCATGCCTTTTGCATCAATGGATTAGACAAGATGCAGTAATATAACAAATTTAAATAATTAATGGGAAACAAATAAAATCAATATATTCAAGATATGCTGTTCCCTCTGCAAGATGAAAATTCTAAGCCTATTTATTCCTAAATCAGCTTTAGGTGAAGTGAAAGGATTAACAATTTTCCTCATACTTTAGGATTGAAGTGAATAAAATCAACAGGGGGGAAAACCCCCCAGCATTATGAGCCTTTGAGTCAAAGGAGAACAAAAGCTATGAAGTTGGTATTTTGATATAACACACATTACATTATTTTATGTTTTCCACTAAAGACACATCTTGATAGCAACTGAAAACAAAATTTTTATTTTGTGGCTATTTTCCTTACCCGTGCTTTAAACAACTGGTCATATACTTCAAGCAGCCTTGGCAATGGCACTCCAATTTCTTTCATGGTATACGTTACGAAACCTACATCCCAGTTCAAAATGCAGACCTGTTGCTCTAGAAACTGAACTAAAAAATCTGGAGGGCAAAAATAACGGGCCGTTAAGATTCCAACTTGAAAACAGGAGTCTAGCAAAGAAAGGCATTTCGAAGGATTTACTCCACGTTTAATTTCCCGTCTCCCACACAGTTCTCTGTTTTCTGGAGAGCACATGTAACTGCTTCCCTTGTCCCGCAGGGCAGGAAGGATATATAAATCGTAACTACCTGCCCAAGAGGGGTCTTACCCTGTCGGCAACACATGGCAGAGATTACCCATACCAAGTACTTCACTGCAGTCC